ATATCTGAGTTAGTGCTTTAGAGTTAGGGGACTGAAATATCTGAGTTAGTGCTTTAGAGTTAGGGGACTGAAATATTTGAGTTAGTGCTTTAGAGTTAGTGCAACTAATATTTAGATTAGTGCTGCCCACCTCTGGTAGTGATGAATATTTTTGTTAATTTCACTCAGTCTTGTAGCAGATTATTTTTAATGATTTGGGTCAGAACCAGAGCAGAAGACTCGCTGACCTGCTGATGCCTTTGTAGACAGAGGCGAACGCTCCTTCTCCCAGCTTCTCCAGACTCAGGTAGGACCGAGCAGCTCCAAACTCCAGATGTGCTTTCTGAGACCAACACGTGCACATCAGGTGTTGAACTGTGTGTCATTTACCTTTCCAATAAACATCATGTGACTCATCAGCTGACCCAGGTGAACAGCTCCTGCATGCTGGCTGCTCTCAAAGGGTCACTGTTGCTGCGTCCTCGTGGGACTCTGAAGCGTCCAACCTGCAGTGTGYGGAACCAGTGAGGCTGAGACCCAGAGAGGGAGGAACCGGACCGCTCCAGATCTGCCTGAAAAACACAAACACTGGGACGTCTRTAAGAAGTTCTGATGCTACCTTAAACACCGTTCAGAGGCAACGGGATGCATCTGCCAAAAGAATCTCTGATCTTTTATCAAATTGTCAAATTTATCAAGGATTATGGAGCAGCTGAAGCTCTCCARCCTCATCTGTGCYRTGTGAGCGGCTGGTTTCTACAGCTGGAAACGTTGTAGCAAAGAAGTGTAACAGGCTCAAGTTCAAAATGTTGGAAAMACTTTTTTAAATAAAAACTTRTGAAAAAAAATCCCAGTCCACAATCCTCCTCATTCACATGCTCACTTAGATTTTCACATTATGACACATGTTCACACATTATTTATAGACTGTATCAAAAAATGAAGATATGAAATAATACAGTATAAAATACAGTGGCTTAAATTATATTGTTGTATAGGTCATCAAATCAGTATCAACCAGGTTGACTGTAGGGATTGTTTAGGTCCAGCAGGTGTCAGTATTCAGTGACAGTTTTAGTGTTATGTTGAAATGCTTCATGATGCTTCATCTCTACTCTCGATTCTTCATTAATATTCTGTCTTCTTGTTACTTTGATCATTAAGCTGTATTTTTCCAATTCTCTCTGCCACCCTAACCTAACTTTTATTTTTAAACCACATTTAATAAAACACAAGTTTCAGATGGATATAAATAAGATCAGGTCCTGATTACATTCACTATTTTATGATGGCAGAGCCACATTTTATTGTAATGTTTTAATGTTTTTAAAAAACAGTCAAAATGTTCAAGGTGTGTGCAGAACTTTTATTATACAGAATCAAGCCTCATTGGTTCAGGACACTGCTTGTATTGTATCTTTACGGTTTCATGCAGCTGTAATGTTAAAGTTTGACCAGTAGAAGGTGTAACACATAAATGAATGAAAGCTTTTGAAACACTGAATCATTTCAGCAAAAAAGTTACATATTGATCCAGAAAGCCTTAGTTTATCCATCCATAGTACCAGGGGCAGAGAGAGAGAGAGAGAGAGAGAGAGAGAGAGAGAGAGAGAGAGAGAGAGA